ACACACACACAAACATTTAAAAATAAACAAACTCAGGGCTGGAGAGATGGCTCAGTGGTTAAGAGCACTGGCTGCTCTTCCAGAGGTCCTGAGTTCAATTCCCAGCAACCACATGGTGGCTCACAACCATCTGTAATGAGATCTGGCGCCCTCCTCTGGCGTGCAGGCATACATGGAGGCAGAATGTTGTATACATAATAAATAAATAAATAAATCTTTAAAAAAAATAAACAAAGCCAGCCATAATGGCATGTCTTTAATACCAGCACTCTCAAGCAGAGGCAGGCAGGTCTCTGTAAGTTTGAGGACAGCCTGGTCTACTTGATGAGTTTCAGGCCAGTCAGAGCTACATAATGAGACCCTTTCTCAAATAAACAAAATAAAACAAAACCATTTATGGTAGCGCACACCTTTAATCTCAGTGCTGGGGAGGCAGAAGCAGGTGGATCGCTATGAGTTTGAGACGGGCCAGACACCCTGTCTCAAAAGAAAAAATAAAAATATTTATACATTATGGTAGGGAAAGCAGCTTGGGTGCTTTTGGCATGAGCATGAGAACCAGAGTTCAGATCCCCAAAGCCCATGTTAACCGTTCATCTGTAATTTCAGCTCAGAAGGCAGAGCCGAGGATTCCCCAGAGCAAGCAGGATAGCAAAACTAGCCTTATCGATAAGCTCTGGGTTTGATTGAGAGACCCTCCCTTAATGAGCAAGGTGGAAGAGGGATGGAGGATGAGCTGGATACCAGCCTCGGCCCTCCACATGCATAAGCACATAAGTGCATGCACACTTTGCATATACACCCACATTCATGCAAACGTGCATAAGGCACACATGCACACCACAGTGTGACTTTGGGGTTCCGCAGTTTCTCTGTGACTGGGAGCTGTCCCAGCACACAGGCCATGTGGAAGCCTTGGCCTCCACCGCTAGCACCAGCAGCACATCCTTCTCCCAGCTGTCATTTTGTGACAGCCAAAAAATGTCTTGAGAGAGTGCCAAATGTCCTCAAGGGGTAGAGGGTTGAGAATGATCGTTCTAGATGGCAATGCTGTTTTGCGGAGGTGGGTGTGGTAGATTGGTCCACATACAGCCTGTTCCCCGGTGTCTACACCCTGCTGTCTGGAGTCACCTGGCCAAATGCCCCCACCACTGCCACCCTGTCTGGGGATTTCTCTGTGACGGCAGTGGCCTGGCCCCGAGACAGCATGTTCAGACTGCAGCATGGTCATTCATCCGGTGCCTTCATCTTCCCTGTCGTCAGCCCAGTGGACAGTGTTATAGCCTTTAGGAGTGACTGGTTCTGGGACAATGACATTGGCAAGTAACACCATGAGTGTGTCTGTCATGATGGGACAGTCATGGGCCTGCTGTCAGGAGCTGTGCTCAGGATGAGACTCGTCAGGCATGGGGGAGGGCAAGGGAGACAGGGTATGAGGAGGCAAAGGTGCTGCTGCTGCCACCACTGCTGCTGCTGCTGCTGCCGTTGAAGCTGAAAAGAAATAGCTCTGAGAGCTTACGACTGACTGTGCGGTGGAGGGGACTGAGGTGTCGGGGAGCAGCATGCCCTGCTGGTATTTTTGTTTTGTTTTTCAAGGCTGGGGATTGAACATAGGACTTTGTTCTTGCTAGGGAAGCCCTCTACCATGGAGCTGTGCACTAGCCCCTCCCTTGGTAGATTCTAGCTCTACCCCAAGTCACACACCAGCCCCTCACTGAGGGATTCTAGGCAGGGGCTGTAGAACTGAGCTACACCCCAGCCCCTCACTGGGGGATTCTAGGCAGGGGCTCTACCACTGAGTTACATTCTCAGCCCACTCCTGTATTTAAAAATTTAACCACTCAGCAAAACATAGTAGACCAGGCTTACAATCCAATCTACTCAAGAACCTGAGGCATGAGGATCAAAACTTCAAGGTCTAGGCTGGAAATGAGGTTCAGCGGGCAGTATACTTACCTAGTACATACAAAGACCTCATTTTGATTCCCTGGATGGAATAAAACCAGGCCTGATGGTATGTGCTTGTAACTCCAGTACCCAGGGGATGAAGGCAGGGGGTCAGAAGTTCAAGGTTATCCGTAATTGCATAGCAAGTTTGACGCTGTCCTGAGGGAAGAGAGAGAGAGAGAGAGAGAGAGAGAGAGAGAGAGAGAGAGAGAAGGGAGAAGGGAGAAAAGGAAAGGGAGAAGAGAGGGGAGGGGAGGGGAGGGGAGGGGAGGGGAAAGCAAAAGGAGAGGGAAGGATTCCAGGCCAGTCTGGATTAAAGCGAGTTCAAAACCAGCCAGAGGAACTTCTTCTTATTAAAATAAGAAGAAATAAGTCCTGGGGATGAAACGCGGCGGTACTTAAGTAGTATATGTGAAATCTTTGCTCGAGTCCAGTACTGGTGGGGGAAAAAATCTACCCTCTTGTTCCATCCTACACCTTTTCCTGGGTTAGTTCCCAACGTCGTCCCCCTCCCTGGACGTACCAAGACCTCAAAACCTCTGGGTTCTTCCACCTCCCCTCGAATCCATAAACCCTATCGTGACCACCCACTGCTCTGGAGTGTACTCTCTGGCCCTGGCCTAGGCATTCAAGGTCTCCTCCTCCTCCCTAACTTCCTTTGGGTATGTAAGGAGGGCATTTCCAACATTGGCCAACTCCCTCGAAGTCCTCTACCTTCCCAGGTACTACAAAAGGGGACTCTTCTAAAAGGTGTTGGCCGTGGCAGAGTGTTGCAACCACTGAAAGAGGGACTCACTGGGCGAGTGATGTCCCAGGCAAGACTCCTGGAGAGGGACGGAGTAGAGAGCCAAAGAAAGGAGCTTAACAGCCTGGAATCACCGGGATCTCCACTCCTTCGGGAGCACCAGCTAGTTAAGGGTACTAGGGCGGAGAGAGAAAAGGCGGAGCTGGGCGGAGCCACCAAGAAGGGGCGGGCATCGGGCCACCATGCGGGACTGGCCGGGAGGGGCCCTGCACGTTCGCCCGGCAAAGACGCGTGGAGTCGCGGGTGCCCTTTCTGTCATCGCGGGCTCCGCCACCCGCTATCCGGTGCGCACCTGCCGCACCGCCCTCGTGGATCCAGATGGGGAAGGACCAGGGCTTCTCTCGGCACTTTAGGTAGCTTCCCCATGGCGTTCTGCGCCTCTGGGAACCCTGCGCCCGTATCCACCCAACTTGAGGTTGGGAGAGGGGGGCTGGGACATAGGGGGGGGGCGGGTTCCCTGTTCTGGGTGGGCAACCCATCGAGACTGGGCGGAGTCCAGAAACGGGGGACAATAGGAATAAACTGATGGGTGTGTGGGTGGTGAGGTTTAGATGTTGGGTACCCAAGACCCACACGCAACCCGAGGAGTTGGGGTGAAGTGAAAGGCTAGGATTAAAAAGACAACCTCCCTGCATTGACTCACGGGATAGGACAGAGGACCAAGAATGGGGTTGCGTGCTCTGGATGAGAACCTAGCACATCGCATCAAGTTCTGAGTTTGGAAGGCAGAGACCTTTCCACTGTCGGGAACTGCCGATTGCAGCCTCTGAGTCCCCTACCCCTGTCCCCACCTGTTCTCAGATCAAGTGCTAGCTGAAGAAAGCTTGGCCAGGATAGAGTACACACAGGAAAAAGAGGACCCTAGGGGAGGTTCTGGTAGCAGAATTGACCCAGTGGAAGGTTCTATACTGTGACTCCCAGGAAGAACCCTGGGAACTCAGAAAGGCCTGTTGGCATCGCAAGGGCATAAAAGCCTTGGAGGCCCATTGCTGGGCTGCCACAGTCAAAAAGGCAATAATCTGTCCCTATAATGAATTTGGCCCCACTGCATCTGGCTGTGCCAGCTTTAATTAACCTACAACAGTGCCAGGACTTGGGTGGCTGGGGCAGACAGTGATGGAGACGCAGGGAATGTTCATGCCAGCCAGGAAGGGTGTCTGGCTCAGCAGGCGGCCTTGGCCTCTGGCCCGTGCTCCAGGACGCCAAGCAGGGAACTAGCCACCAGTCCTTCCACCTCCTTAGTTTGTGATTCAGCCTGGTGCCCACCTAGCAAGCAGGACTTTAACTACTTGATGTCGGATGCGGAACTGAGCTGGGCATCTGACTCCTGCCCAGATTAGAAGCTGGGCCTGTTGCCTTGCCGAACTTGGGGCTGAGGTCGAGGGTATGAGGTGGAGAGTCTGTGTCCTTTGTCAGGACATGCGGCGGGAGGATAAGGAGAGGGCTGTGTGGCAGGCAGATAGAAGTGTCAGGCTCAGGAGACCTCCTGGTCACTTGGAGTGTCCAATCGGAAGCAGAACTCCCTGGGGGCGGGGCTAGCAGGAGCCCTCCTGAAGAATCTACTTGCCTTCTGTCCTACCAGGGAGTTCATTCTGCCCAGTGAGCCTTCTTAACCTGCCTCACTGAGGCTGGCAGAGCCACAGAGCAAGTTCAGGAGAGGGGTACCTCGGCTGCATGCCGGTCCATCTCTCCCCTCCTCTCTTCTCTCCTGACTCCCCATCTTGTCCTTGGCATTGGCTCCTGGTACAAGGAAGAGGGAAGGGAGCCTTGGGGCACAGCCAGGACACAAGCGCTTGCTAGTGTTGGTGAGCCCTGATTCCAGCTGTGTCAGAAGCCAGCTGTGTCACCCTGGAAAGTTACAGATTTCTGTCTGACTCGGAATCTTCTGCAGTGGATCAGTAAGTCCACCAAGGTGTTAGCGGAAGCTGTTGTGTGGGGGATTGGGATTGGATCACTCACAGACACGCACCCGCCCTTCCTTCTCAAGGGCCAAATCCTTTCCGGTCATTGTGGCCCGCCCGGCCCAGCTACAAAATCGGGCTTTGGAGAGCTCCTAGAATTACAGGCGCCAAGGATTCATCCCAGGGTCTGGGCGCTTGCAGGATGATGTCTTCACAGACCTTCACAGTTGAGCCCCCACAAATGGGCAAAGGTTTACTAAATACATGCAGGAAACTGGGAACACCCACACACACATAAAAAAAACAATAATAAAACATTCTTTTAAAAAGATTAAAGCGGCGGGAGGGGGTGACAGGAGAGTGGCCCAGGCAGAAGCCAAAAGCTTAGAGGTGGTAATTGTCTTCACAGTTGAGGGCAGGGAAGCAAGCAGGAGAACGGCAGGTGTGAGGATTCTCGGAGGAAGTCAGACCACCCGCGGACAGCGGATGTAGTTTTCCCTAGCAGTCACCTGAAAATAAGCCGGGGAGAGAAGGAGAGCATCAGTCAGGGCTTGACCTGCTAGATGCAAGTGCACGAGAGGAGAGAGGGAGAGCATCAGTCAGGGCTTGACCTGCTAGATGCAAGTGCACGAGAGGAGAGAAGGAGAGCATCAGTCAGGGCTTGACCTGCTAGATGCAAGTGCACGAGGGGAGAGAGGGAGAGAAGCAAGAGACAGGCAGGAACTGGAATACTCCATAGACTGCTTTGGGAGAAAGAAGGCCCCACAAAGGTTAGGGTTGTGCGGCTTTCCCAAGGTGGGGTGACACCGCACTCCTGACGTCGTCTAGGATAGACAGTTCTCTCAGTCCCCCTTGTGAGTCCCAGGGAATCGAACACAGGTCTTCAGTCTTGACAGCACGTGCTTCCACCTACTGAGCCGTCATGTGACCAGGTCTCCAACAGCTGGGAATGCAAGTCTGTTCACCAAAGGGGAGAGTGAAAATTTCCCTGGTTACCCCTGGGAAGGGACAGGAGATCCATTAGGAGGCGCCTTTGGGATGTGGCCAGGGGCCGCGCCTGACTGCGGCTCTCGCTTTGCAGGATCTTCATCCCCAAGAAGCATCGGGCACGCTTCGACGAGGTGGTGTCACAGGGTCTGCTGGGCAAGCTGTGCCGCGCTCGGAGGGCGCAGGGCGCGCAGCGTTTGCGCCGAAGCCGCAGTGAGGAGCGTCCCGAGCGCCTCCTAGTGTCCACGCGCGCCAGCGCCGCCCCGCGCCGTCCTGATGAGCCGCCCCCGCGCAAGGCGGCCTCGCTGCTGGGCGGCCGCACCGGCCCTGGGGGCCCTCGCAGGTATGTAGGGCGCAGGTAATAATAAAAGACACCTCCCGATCGTGAGCGAGCTTGGGTAGGAGACTTGTGCCGTGGGCACTTGGAAGGACAGGGGCGTGAGACATCCGCTTCCTGAGCTCTGGTCTAATGTCCCCAGGGTAAGACGGAGAAGGTCACTCACTTCCAACCCCATCCCATCCTTTCCCCTAGGACTGTTCGAGTCTACAAGGGCAACAAGAGTTTCGGCTTCACTCTGCGCGGCCATGGACCGGTCTGGATTGAATCTGTCCTGCCTGGTGAGGGATAGACAGGTTGCCCTGAGTGTCTAAAATCAGGGATGAAGTCAAAAACCCCGTGGTAGCTCGCGCTCTCTCTCTCTCTCTCTCTCTCTCTCTCTCTCTCTCTCTCTCTCTCTCTCT